TCCCTTTCTGATTGTTTTCTAGATGCAAAAACCTGCAATGAAGTTGACCTGGAAAACTCTATAGATTGGGAAGTGAAGACGATTACTAGTGCTATGAAGCAATATCTGCGGTAAGCCTTTCACAGATGATTCAGAAACCTGAGTTGTTAGTAAACTTACTGAGAGTTGTTACCGAAAGTCAGCTAAGATGTTAAAAGTTTGTTGCCTTTTTGTGCTTTAATGTGGTAGAATGAAAAGGGAAAAGGTTATGAAATTTTTAATATTTTCCTCTTTTCCTTCTGGTTCTTTCTGTGATGTTTTAGCTGCAATAGTAATAACATGTTGAGTGTTAAAAGTAAGAATTTTAGATGTGTTTGTTCAAATGGCTTGACCAATTCTCAATCAAGATATTTTACTAACTTGCCTAAGAACATAGATCTTTTGTGTATCTCTGATAATGTAACACAGATACACTATTCTTAATCTGCTGGTTTTCTTGAATAAAGTATTACTGAAACCACTATCAAAGAATGCTGAAGAATTATGATAAAGATAAAAGTCTCTCTTAGGAAATGTAGAAAAGAATAAGAAGTATAGGAAAGAAAAAATAGGTGCACATGATGAAGTCTTTCCTGTCTACAGCATTTCCCATCTGAGTATTTACTCCAATAGTTCATAAACATCAGTAAAGGCAATTCATTAAATGAAAGTTTTAACTCTTGTTTCCGTTATTCAGTACATTTTTCATTGATGACTAAGGTTTTCCATTTCAGTTTTTCCATTTGAAATGCTATAGAAGTTTAATTTGTGGATTGGTACTGTTCAGCAAACTTAAATGTATTTTAGAGCCTCTATTTCTTTCCAGTGAGACATCGACTTGTGATTCTTTGTGTTTTAAAAACACCGATGAAGAATGAACTGCATAGTATATGTGTACAGTCTTCATCTGAGAAGTAGTCTCTGTGTTTTAACTTGGAAATGTGCTTTATGATAGACCGGAGGCATCACTTCAGCTCATGGAAGGTGAATGGATGCATTTAGTTTTTTTTTCCTGATGATACCAATTTCTCCATTCACACTCGAAATGATTGAATTCAAGGGCCAGCATAACAATGGTTCCCTCCAGTGCAAGGATTATGCTGCTGAATGTTAAAATGGTTTTCTGCTTAGAGTAAATACAGACAGAAAAGAATATAGACAAATTTATTTTATCATCTTTGTTTTGCAGAAGCCTTCCAGAGCCATTGATGACATACGAGTTACATGGAGAATTCATCATTCCTGCCAGTAAATATATGACTGTAGTTCAAATAGAAATCCTTTCTTATAGTGCTGTTGTGGCCTTGCAAGCACGTTGCAAATGCAATTTCAGAAAGGTTCTTCTACCCAGTAAAAATATAGGAATGAGAAATAATAGAAGTTTTAAAAATACATAAGTTTTAACCAGTATTCAGTTCTAGTATGTCACATACACTGCATCTATTGACAGACAAGCTTAAGTCTAAGTAACAGACTTATTATAGTGTGATTTTTATGGAGAAACTTTTGGATTAACATTGTAAACATTCATTTTTATTATCTTAATTATATAATTATAAACATCCACTTAGATTGTGATTTTTTTTTCTTCCATTTATAAAGAGTATGAAGCTTAGTAAAAGAAAATACACTAATTTGTGCTCATTTGAATCCTTAAAGCACAGCTGCCTGACCCTTGTTTTCAGTGCCTTGTTAGCTCTGTATCCAGGCTGGCTTGAATATTTCTCAGATATTAGTAGAAGAAAGGAAAGAGCAGGCCAAATTACACTGTGGCAGTTCAAATACAGACTTGGAGAAGACAGAACGGCATTTGTAGTTTAGCTGTATGGTATCTAATGTACATGGAATTTTTTGGAAGAGGATGGAGGGAAACTGTGTAAGAAAATTTTTGGCAAAGTATCAAACAGATATTTAGCTGATTTTCTTTCCAGCCTGTAGCACTTTTGGCAAACTATGGAAAGTGAAATTAAAATAAACTTTTGAGACAATTGCTTTATCTTCTTTGGATTGCTGTAATGACTTTCCAGGACTGCAGAATGTGTTCACTTGTGGTCCTTAATTCAAAATGAGAATTAGCCCATGGAATTCATTGCCAAAATACATCTTAGAGGTCAAGTGCCTAAACAAAATTCAAGATCCTTACCTAGATGGTCATCTTCTCGTTTGTATTGGAAACTGTTAAATTAATTTCTTGACCTATCAAGTTTTGCCAACAGTTTCTTGTTTTATTTTCCTTTCTCTAGTTTATAGTCTCCTTCAATAAAGGAATTCAGTTCAAATTACATGTTTTAAATAGTACACTGTTCATAAGTAGTAAACAATTTTGTAGAGGGGCTGATTCTGTGTAGCAGGGAGGGAAATTTTATCAGCACTGCAGATCTGACTTACGGTATACTTAAAAATAGGTAATCAGTGTTGTTTCCTATGTTGGCTATAAAAAACCAACACCACTAGAAATAGTAAGGAATATCCTTTTCTCTGAAACTATTGCGGGAGAGAGGAAGCCACAATTAAAAGGTTTTCCTTTCAATTTTCTTTTCTTTATACATATCAGTGTAGATTGAAACTATGTGAGACTTGACTGTATCTTGTGATTAAGTTGCTTAGCCATTCTCTAAATAGGGTTTGTGATTTCACAGATATGTAAAATAGTATTGCTTTAAAGATGGTTTAGGTTTTTCTGGCTGTCCGAATTTTGATTAGCTGACTAGGAGCTAAACATTCTTCATTTTAGTAGCCTTTTTTCTTGCTATCTGTGCAGGGGTGTTCACTGCAAAAGAGTAAAAAATTGATCCTAAGATCTGCAGTAACGTGCAAAGAAAGAAAAAGAAAAATCTGTAGCCATATCCACTGAAGAAGTACGGTGGTATTTTATACAAAATATATTTAACAATGAAAGTTGTATTAGAGTATAATGAGACCTCATGAGTGGTCCTGATATTAAAACTTGTATTTGTATTCTAAATTTTTCTCTTTATGTACCTTGTACTAAATATTATTATATGTAAGAGAAGTACTTCCACTCTTCTCATTGTAACCTCTACTGAGATGTAATTTTGTGATTTAACACAACTTTGAGAACTAGGAAGATTGATTATTTCCATCTTTTACAGATTCTTGTTTTCATCTGTGTACTGGTGAAACCTGTAGGGGCCAAAATTATTCAGTTCAATACACAACATGCAAAAATAAAAAGCCCCTTGCTCACATTTACTTTATTTCTGTACTGTACTAGAGAGGGATTATGTTGTTATTCAGGACCCTTTATCATAGTAATCTCACTCAGTAGGTTTTTTTGCATGGTTGTTCTTCTGTGTCTTCAGAAGTCATTGGATTTTCTCTTTCTGAGCACATGAATCTTCTGCAAGTGTTGTCTTATGCAGTTTCCAATGCAAGGTAGCATAAATGTAGTATCATTAGCTGCTTACTACCAGCAAAACTGAATTCTAGTGATGAGGACAATCAGTTAATGATGCTAAAATGTAAAGTAATACAGTTTCACTCTGGCACTGAGTATTGTTGCTTCTCATCTTGCATTGTGTTCGGAAGCAGATGAGTCCAATGCAGCAAAACTATAACTGCGTCTGTCACTTTTAAAAATTAGATAAACAAAGGCATTCTTTTGCAGGTGGCTTGAAAGATCAGTTCATAAAATAAGCAAATAAGTTGATAATTCTAAAACAAGTTTACTTGTGAAAACAAAGCGCATATGTTTGACATTGCTGCGTTTGGAGATATGTAAGCATTGAAGTGAAGTATGTGCATTATGTTTCTGTGCAGGGGTGGGAGAAGCTTTGTTTTTCTGTGGATTTTATTTTAGCTTTATTTCTTGGGGTAGTTATTTATTTTTATGTCCAATAGAAAGTGGAAGTCCTGAATCTCGAGTTAATGCTGTTCACTTCTTGGTCCATAAACTCCCAGAAAAGAACAAAGAGATGCTGGAAATTTTGGTGAAACATTTAGCGAAGTAAGTGTTGTGACCTGCTTTCCTATGTTGTCAGAACTCTTGTCCTTACTTTCGTTTAACTACAAAAGGCCTCAGTTAAGTGTGACTGGAGCTGAAGCCCATCTCGATGCTGTCATACACAATACCAAGAACCAAACGTGCAAAAGCAGACAAGACGCTTGACTCATACTGTGTGTATTTTGGCGGGAAAGGCAGAAATCTAATCTGTTAATGAAGCCATATAAGTATTTACTTTAGCAGTCCTGCCAGCAGTTGAGGGTTTGATTCAAGTGAGAAAGGGAACATTATACTTTCTTTTTGCGAATTCTGGCAAAGTGAATAGAGGAGATCTGTTAGCAATATTAAGTTGGTTTCACACTTGCCCTGGTCCAAGGCTAAGTGCATTTTATATATTTAAGTTCAGTAAGAGACTGTTTTTGTTTTTAAATTGCCAGTGGAAGAATGGCTTTTCTGTTTTCCAGAATTCAGTAAGACTTTATTTGAAGAATCTTTGTACAAAACAAACTTCTAAAACATTAAGATTAAGGAAATGTAGTTTTTTCATTTGTAGACTGCAGTTTCCAACAGTAATGGAAATTTTTCATAACCTATTTCCTGTTTTTTCCTTCAATTCTTTTCAAAAAGTGTTTCAAAGCATGCCAAGAGGAATCTAATGACTGTAGCAAATCTAGGGGTAGTATTTGGACCAACCTTAATGAGGCCACAGGAAGAAACTGTAGCAGCCATCATGGACCTGAAGTTTCAGAATATTGTCGTTGAAATCCTGATAGAAAATCACGAGAAGGTAAGCTTTGATACATCTCTGCATTTCTGAGCATAGTCTAAAATGATCTGCTAGGCTTAATGGGAAATGTGGACTTCAGTATGATGATGCAAGTAGGTTAATTCTAAAGAATATGCTCTATACACTGTATTGCATTTGGCTATTTAAACTGACATTTCAGAATGCATATTTCCTGGCAATAATGGTTTTTCTGTGAGTATAGTACCCAAATAAATTTTCATTATGATATTTGCATATGGTTTTTTTCTGAGCAAAAGTGGTTCAAACTGAAAAAGAGAAAGCCCAGACTCAGTTTTTATCTCTTCCATTAAGTACTTTGACCAGGGTCTGAATTAACTGTTCTATGTCTTAATTTTTCTCAGAGTTCACACAGTAAAAAGAAGACTTTACTGTACTTTGAATTTTATGTCTAAAAAGTATTATGAGAGAGCCAGGTATTAACATTTCCTTTGTTTTCAGCTGAATGTGTGTTATTTTAAGGCTTTGCATTTGAGGTAATACTGAAAATAGAAGTTGCTGCTGCTGCTGTGGCAGCTGCCAGTTACTAAGGTGCCTTACATGTACAAGGTACTGCCCAGAGTATCACTGCATGTAATCTGGGCTCTGGAATTTAAAATAACAACAATAACAACAACCACCAAAACCAGCAAAAAATCCCAATCACACAAAAAACCTTTAATGGTCACTTTGGATACTTCTTTGGGGGAGTCCTTTGTATCTAAGCTGACTTCTGGAACTGGATGTTTGAGGTACTGTGCTTCTGCTGGGAGGATGGGCAGCATCTCCCTGACTCTTACTGTCACAAAAAGTGCTTTGGAAAAATTTCAGGATGTACTTTTTCCCCTCTTCTTTCTTAAGTGCTCCAAGCACTGAAATAGTTCTTTCTTGTGAAGGTTAACTGTGTTGATATTGGCTATCTAAGTCAAGTCTTATCTACTTTAAATAACTCATGTCCCAGGTTTTTCTGACAATATAATTACGCTGCCTTCTTGAATGATACAGGCTGGGCAAAGCTTCTGTTGGCATAGCTGTATCCACATGGTGGGTTTTGTTGGCTTAGTTGACTTAGGGTGTAATGCTGCCCTCACACACACATTGAGCAGATACAGTATTGTTCTGCTGGAAAAATACGGTGCTGCAGATGTGACTCAAGTTCTAAGTGATAAATATTCTGAGAACTGTAAGCCATACTGTTCATTTTGGACCTTATAAATGAAGGTAAACCTTTCAGTAAGCTCATGATTTTGAAGCTATTGCAGTGATTACGCAGATTTAAGAAATTGAAGAGAGAGTGAGCACAGACAGGGTGTTTAATAACTTATGGAGGTTGAGTTATACTTACTCAAATCACTAGATCACCACACATCACCACCATCTTATTCTTATGTCAGCTCGGTCACACGTTTTCAAAAACTGGATATCAGTTTAATGTTTGAAATGTTAGTTGTATTGGACTTTTTTGCTCCTTTGAAAATGTAGAGAAGCAGGGAATGGAAAATACATGAAAATGATACTGCATCATTTTCCATAATTCCTTGGTTTTATGCCTTCTTTAGAACTAGAAGGCTGTAATTTTTTTAAAGGGATTTCTGTCATTTCCCTGTCATTTTTACAGCGAACTTGCCATCAGTGGTCTCCCTGCAGCAACCTCTCTCCCACACTAGAGCTTCTTCCAAGATGGAAGGAAGCCCCAGGTGTGACCTCTGTGTATTTATAGCAAAGGCAATGGAGAAGTGTGTGTTAGGACATTACAAAAAATTTCTTCATTTAAGGGAGACCAAGGACCTGCTTTTAATGGCAAACAGGCTTGTTGTCAGTCTAATATTAATTTTGAATTGTTGTTTTGAATTTCTGTGCATTTTAGACTTTCAAAGAGTCTTGTGTTATGTATTTTTATTTGTAGCCCTGGTGAAGTCCTATGAAAAGTCACTAGCTGTGGGTTAAAATGCTTTCAAGTATTTCATTCAGCCACTACTCTGCCTTCGCTAATTTTTAACAGCTTCTGCTAATAGAAGCAAAGTTTGGAATTGTAGAAAAGTGGTGGAGTCAAGATGGAGGTACACTGACACAAACAAACTTGAAGCAACACTTCAGACTTCATGCGTATGTAATTGATGGCTCTGGCAGACTGCAAAGAGTCATTTCTTTTCCTCTCTAGCAAATGAAATGAATAACAAACTTCCAAACTGTAGAAGCAATAGCCATCAACATTTCCAGTTTAAATACAGTAACTTGGTAGGCAAAATAGTAAAAAATTGTTAAGATTCCAAAAATATTTTAAAATTCCATCAACATTCACTGTGTCTTGTGGGGATAGCTTTATTGAAGGAGATCCACAATTCATTTTCAGGAGGAGACATAATTAGTTGGGCTACTAGCTTTGAGATCCTAGTGCAGTAATTCCACTATCAACGCTCTACTGAGTCCTAATTAGAGAATTTCTGTGCAATTTATGTGTGAAAACCTGGATATGAGGTCTTACCCTGAGAGAAGAATATCATGCTTAGTGCATAAGCTTTTCTTTTTTCTTTTTCTTTTTTTTTAAGCTTTATTGATATGTATGTTTATGTCCTGCTAGCTAGAAACCAGTCAGTATCACTTCCATCTTGTTTACAGGCTGCATACATACTTCTAAGCCATGGCTGTGAATGAATTTTAGTAGGTTGAGGAAGGGATGTTTTGCAAAATCAGCCCAATGCTGAGAATTGAATGCTGGAAACTAGACTGTGCAGCCTGGTGTGTCACTTAACTGGCATTAGAATTGCACAATGATTAAGACTAGAAGGGGGATAGAAGAGCATTAGGCAACTAATTGTTTAGCTTTTGTTCTTGTCCGTTATGGATAAGTTGCTTCCAGGCAAAGTATTTCTTAGTGTCCAGTCAGAAGATGAGCTGTAGAAACAGATCTCTACTTTGAAAGAAAGCACAAAAACTAGACCCTGCTGTGGAAGGGAAGACAGTCCAAAGGAAAAGGAGACCTGTGAATTGTCTTGCTTGCAGCTATCATATGGCTGTATGGAAAGGCCAGCCAGATACATCAGGCAAAGTAAGAGCAGGCTCAAATTTGATATTAAATGGCCTCTCTATAATTTTTCCTGGAATTGCCATGTTTTGTGCTGACTGGGCTATGTGCACCAGTACTTGTGTTTCCCATTGCTTTGTAGGTCCCTAATGTTGGTGTCATTTCATATTTGGCTGTCTTGTTCCCTTCTCCTGTGCAATATCTGTCTGGTCTCCCTTGATTTCTTTGTCCCATATCCTTCTCTTTACTAAAAAAGTATGATCTCATTGAGTTCATTTTGCTTTGAAGTTTTACCATTCCTTGGTGTTCCTTTTCTAGAGGGAAAGGACTCAGGGGCTCACTGCAGCTGTGTTTGCATGGTCCCTGAAACAATCCTTTATCTTGACCTTTAGGTAGTCCTCTGATGAAGAGTGGCAGTCAACTTGGACTCCTCCAAAAAGAAGGTTTTAATTTATCTTCTCCTCCTCCCCGAAAAGAGTTTCAGGTGTATGAATTACTTTTTCTTCCAGAAGGTTTTACAGACTGGTAATTTTGGACATCTAATTTCTTCTGGTATTGCTTTCTGACTTACGGTGAGGAAGAAGGGCAAGTCTACTCCATGGCAGCGTGAAGAGCATGCACGTGTTTGTCTTGCTGTTAGTTATAATGTTTTGGCATCTCATTGGAATGAATGCCGCTATTCAGAGGGCTTATTTATTTGCCATTTAGAGATGCCTCAGTGGTAATGTGAACCATTTTGGTTTCTGAATTCCCTGAACATTATTTAAAGAGAGAAAAAAAGGAAAACCAACCCAGGATAAAAAAAGAAGTCTAAGAAATGAAAGAAGATGAGGGAGGAGGTTGGAATAAAAATCTCAGTGGGACTGGAATATTTAAACCAGTATATGGGGGAGGAAAGAGTAGTGAGTACAAATAGCAAGATTACAAAAACAGAAAGAAGATGAAAATTACAGTGAAAGAAAATTAGAAAAAAAAATAGAGAAGGGCTAGACAGAAGTCCCTTAGAGGGCTGGGAAACTAGAGTCTGCTGTAAAACGAAATGGGCATGGTAAAATGCCCATGAATTTTCTAGAATTCAGACAATATATGAGCAAAATTATCTCTAATATGTTAATTCTTGAAAACTCAATAGCTCCTATATATAATGCAGGTACTATTTTCACTTATTTTCTGTATTAATCTTTTTATAAAGGGCAAAGATTTTACATACTTTAGACAAAATATGCCTTTGTTTTAACTTCTCTTTGTTCAAAACAGTTCTATGGAGGAAATCTTTTCCATGAAATATGAATGCTTTGCTTTTTCTTACTTTTATAATTATTTTTTTAAACTTAAGTGAAGAGAAAAAATTAATACGATTGAGTTCTTAAGCCAACATCAACTTCATGTAGTAATACTTGGAAAATCTTTGGTCTTAAAACATATTACAGTACATAATAGCTGCAGTACTTGCAGTAGTCTTGAGACAGAAGAAAGTTAGTTGTTTGTCAGAGAGTATGAATTGGCAGAGTGAGGTATGGCTCGTGTCTCCGCTTCGCAATCGCTACGTGTTTAAAGCAGTTCTGTCGCAGTGCTTTAGGTCAGTGCTTTAGGGTACAGCAGGACTGCCATCATCTGGACTAGAACTATTTTTTGACAGCTCAGCAGATCTTTTGAAGTTTGAGTAGAGGGACATATGAGAAAAGAGGTCTTGTTTCAGCTTTCGTGTTGCTTTGCCTTCAGCTGCAATGGAGGACCAAGAAGCGATGCATTGTAATTGTGGTGGTTTGCTGTGATGTAGCAATTTGAAACTCCCCCAAGCTGAATGTTTCTCAAGTCAACAAGCGTTTGACTTGGAGGGGGGAAAAAATTACATTAAGGCATCTCTGTTAAGGCAGAGTTTGCAGAGAAACACATAAGCTTCTGTTCAGCAAGGTATTCAGCATGTGCTTAAGTTTAAGCACGTAACTAATCAGAAGTGTCCTTGAAACTATTCCTG